AAGGATAGATGCTTGAGTGATCGATCATAGCCGGAATTTTTTGGTAGCGATCCAAATATAGTCAATGAATATACCTGTTATGCTTTCTGTTCGGCTGAAAATTCAAAAAATAAAAGTGTTAATTACTAAAATTGAGATTGTAACTCCATCACACAGAGTTTGTTTTAGACGATTTGTGGCTGTTCTGTTTAGGTTTTATACTCTGGGGCGTTAAATATATTTGACTTCCCCAACTTTTGGTCCACGATTGTACATGATCTGTTTAAGATTATTCGAGAATCCCGTGTTTTCAACATGGAAAAAGTTATCAAAGTTTATATATTATATGTTTTGTTTTTCCGTTTGTTTTGCTTTTTGTTTTGTTTTTAACCGAAAATGTTATACACACGGTATAAAAAGATACCAAATTTAGCATCATAAGTAACAATACTGACAATTAAATTTAATTTTTGAAACTCTGAAAGTTTAGCTAATTTATAACAATGTAGTTGCATCTTAGGCCATTAACGGTACGCGGAATCATATAGTTGCTTAATTACTACTGAATCGGTGAAACATTTTTTTTCAATTTCTTGCGTTTGTTCTGTATAAACGGAAATATTGAATGCTGTTATTTGGAACAGTATTGTTAAAAAATGTGAAATTGTAAATTGTACTAATTTAAACCAGCGTGAAAATCTATCGAAATCAATAACCGTATCACTTTAAGCGATTTTAGGTTCGTCCTAACATTTTTGCCAAAAAAGTTAAGTTTTTCTGAGTACGGACAAACATGTGTGTGGACCTAGAAAAGTTTTAGGAATGCCAGGACTTCGATATATAAAAGTCAATGCATTTTAGAATATTAAAACATTTTTTGAATCTTAGATTCTTATTTTTAATGAGCATTCTAAGCATATGATTCAAATTCTCAGAATCTGCAAATTTTCAACAACTTATATTTTCGCCACACTAGTCTATCCTGTGGCCAACTGTCAAATTTTAAAGATTTGTCTCTGTGTGAATAATTCGACGCGTTTTTCAACAAATGATCGGTCATGATTTCTATGGGAACCAGCTATGCACCTCTGGATTTTATATATAATACCTGGCTATTAAATCTATGATATGATATACAATGTATATTAAAAAAAAAATATTTGACTTCATGTTAGCAGTGAGATCAATTTAGACAGAACATGCAGAATTGCAATTTGATACATTTTAAGGAAGATTATCTATAAATCTTATTGTGATAATGTTTCAAATTTTTATGTGTGCTCATTGAAAAATAAGGTGATGCAGTATGTTTGCAAATGAGACAACTATCCACCAAATTCCAAATGAGGTGGATGTAAACATCTATAGACCATTATACAGCCTTCGTCAATGAGAAAAAACATTATGTCTTGAGTTGCTGGACCAACACTTTCTAGAATTCATACACTTTATAATAAGTCTCAAACAAGTGAACTTATAAATTAATATATTATGTCTTATAATATCTTTGCATTTGTAATTGATCACTGATCAATCATCTTAAGGGCATACGATACAGTTTTGATCCCACTGTGAATTTTTGACGAACTGAGTTTGCATACAAGCTATTGTTCACCTAGTTAATTCAGATATGTAATAAAAAGTATACCTTCATGTGCCACTTTAAGAGATAAATAGGGTCGAAATTTTAGACATTTACTGGAAAATTGGCACAAATCTTCATACATAATCAAGCCTTTTAAAATATCCCAGTTTGATGTCGTGAAAAATAAGTTTACCTTAGCAACGATTACCTCCCCTGTATCTGTATCGGGGTTCATGGAAAGTCTTCCAATCTAGCAGTGCGGTGCGAATTGGGCACATTACCTATTAGCATTAAATGTTATCAACTTATGTATAATAAATACTATGTGCGTCTCAGTGATATTGGTGAACGGTCTGGTGGTCCACATGAAATTCTCAAGGCTGCTTTTGAAGTGGACAAAACTCTCACAAATAGAGAAAATTCATTCATGGTCTAATAAATTATGTGAATTATTAAAATATATTGGAATACCCTTAAACAAGCATTGTAATAGTAATTTCAAACAGAAACTAGAAGATTTCTACAAAAATAAAATTATATTTGAACTATCTAAGATAAAAGATGGAAACTGTGGTAAACTTTTATTTTTTTAGTAAAATTTATACTAAATTTAAACAACAAGAATATTTGAACTTTAATGTTCCTAAATATCTTAGAAAAAAACTCACTAAATTAAGAATAAGTGCACACTCATTAGCAATAGAAACTGGTAGGTATGCAAGACCAATAATACCCTCTAATGAGAGATTTGGTAAATTTTGCACAGGAAAATTTGAAAATGAGATACATTTCTTGATTGAATGTCCTCAATATAACAAAATTAGATCTAAATATAAGATCCGTGATAGTAACTCAAATAATTTGGATGAAAATTTACAAAATGTTAAATCCTATGTCTGAAAAAGAACTAAAATCTATTTGTATGTATATTGAAGAAGCTCTTAATTTGAGAGACCACCATACTGTTTCATCAGATAATAATCCTTTATAGAAGTTTGTGCATATACACATATATCTTATATAGGTGATTGTGTGTTTTAAGTAAAATTATGAAAAATTAGAATAATCGTGATGTATATATGTGTATTGTATTAATATGAGTTTAGAATGTACATGGTAATCAAAGAATATACTTAGAATGTTATGATACCCATAGAATTTACTCAGTTATGACTTGCTGTTACATGCATCTATATTTCATGTATATGTTGCTTTAATATTATTATTGTCTGTATTCGGATCACGCCTCTATTGTGCTCTTTCCAATAAATATTGAATTGAATTGAATTGAACAGAGACATATAATATACACAGAGATTGGCAACTATGTGTATATATGTCTCTGAATTGTATTTCGTATTACCCGTGGCTAGTTTTACCCAGTATTACCCGGTAAAACCCAGTTAGAACTTCAAATATTGTAATATTCTTATTCTTGTCCAAATTTTTGACTTAGCAATTTTAAAAAAGTTAGCCTGGGATCCTTGCATTCTGACGCGAAACAGAGGGTGGGCCAAGATGACAGGCGAAGAGCCAAACACGTGATAGGCTTAGTCCGACGTATAACAAACTAGCTAGATCTAATTAGAAAAATTGGCGCCAACTGCACTTTCACTTTCGATTTTGATGAACGCAAGGAAGCTGCACGTGGTATTTTTGTAGGAGAAATAACTTATCACACTCCAATACTCATAAAACTCAGGTTTTTGCCAACCCTGCTCAGTAAAAGCCATGGCTTATTATTTTATGACCCGAAGACAAAGGTACAAAAGTATTACTAGTATAGCTGCGGAACCGTAACTCGAATGTTCCTTATTTTATTTTTTGATTTGTGTGGATCACAAGGACATAGGAGCTACGATTCCACAGCTATAACTAATATACAAGTTAACGGTCTTTATTTCTTTAAAATCGGAAAAGTATATGAATTGAACGGCTGAATTGGTGTTCAACCTATAAGTATAAAAGATAGACAATCCTGTCTTTAAATTACATATGTTTGTCTTTGTGGAACTGGCCAGTTATTTAAATGTTGGTACTAGGTAACAGTTTTCTCTTTTACTCTTAATTAATTAATAAGGACTAGGTAACAGTTTTCTCTTTTACTCTTAATTAATTAATAAGGACCTGTTTTTAAAGTCAACTCCAAAAATTTCAGCTGAAAGATATTTTTTAGAATATATAATTGTTTTTATAAATTACCACAACATATGATTTGAATTAAGAGATCATGGTGATTGCAAGCATTTAAAATTCTGAAGTCTATCTTTGGTGGATTGTATTTTATTATATCAGATGAAAGACAACTCTGACCTTTTGTCACGTGACCAATGTCTTGCCTTAGAAGCCATTAAATCGTTTGCCGTTCAACTGATATTAATTCATATGATGAGACGTACTGTCATATTTATGTTTTGGGTCATGAGTCAAGACACAGGTACAAGGCGAGAATTTTTTAATATATGTATATATACTGAATACAGTGTATTCAGTATACATACATACATACATGACACATAATAAAAAAATCTCTTCTTGTACCAGCTGGGGGTCAAGAGGTCATCAAGCTAAACTAGTCAAAGTAGAATCTTTTTCCTATGATAAATATCTTGTTTTTTTTGGTTAAATGTTTAAATTAAAAGTTCAAAACATTGATGGATTTATGAAGTTTTCAAAATAGTATTTTATAGATGTATTTTGCATTTTTGATGTAAACCGATTTCACAGAGGTAATATGATAAAATAACAGTGGGTAGAAATTTATATGTCAATGGGTCATAAATCTTCATCTTCTGTTGTAATGTCTGTAAAAATTGTATACTAATTTGTTTTGTCTAGTACCGGTAAACATCATTGATATTAATATGAATGATCCTATGTGACTTACATCTTTTAAAATAAGATGTCATAGATTGTATTTCTGATAACTGGGAAAATATATCAGTTGTTTATGATTTTCCTATGAAATATATGAATATGAAGGGATTTTAGCAAACAACAATATATGAATGGGGTTGGTTTTTAAACCCCAGCCGGACCTCTGTCCCAAATTTGTATGTTGAGACCCCCATGTTTTTTATCGTTTCGTTCTTCAAGTTTATCAATTTAATATCCAATTATGTCAGTTGTTGATTCAATATTGAAAATTTGAGATAAACAATCCCTAGCCTCACCATTTTATTAGAAACATATCTGGCTGCAAAATATGGGATCACCCATTTTTGATTACCTAAAATTTGGACCTGTGAGTTGCTAATGTTACTTTGTATGACTACACAACAGAATTGTTGTACTTTTAAGAACCAGAATATTTCAGGGAGCCTGAATTTGATAAATGGAAATGAAATGACCAGTTGCAAGAACATTGGTTAATTAGCACATGAACAACATCTACAGATTATTCTGTAAGTTTGTATTCTTACTTATATTTTTACAGTTTACTACAACTTTGATGGAGATGAAGGAACCAGTGCATCATTGAGTTGTAATGGAGAAGCAGTATTAGTGTCTTATTACACTGACTATGTATACCCATTAAATCCATACATTGTTATAGATGAAGTAAAATACACATTAGAGTCCTTTAATGATTGTCTACATAATTATACATATGGTGTAAAGAACAAATGTGACAATGAAACAACTTGTAATTTTCAAATATCCAATGAGTTAGTTGGGAGTTCCTGTGGCACTAGAGGAAGTGCATCGTTAACTATACGCTACCACTGTGTCCGTAAGTTCAACACACTTTTTATTACTTGATTTAAAGACTTTCATTGCAGAAGTTAAACTCATAATAACATCATATAATTCAAATTAATATGTTTGAAGAACCTCATTATTGACTTATGTTTTGTTTTTGTATGTTGTGCATAAGCATTAATATTTCTATATATTTTATACAGGAGACGGGGCCTGGACAACATGGAATTCCTGGGGTGTTTGTTCTAGAAATTGTGGAGGTGGCTATAGAACTCGGACACGGACTTGTACTAATCCTTCACCAAATGAGTTCAGTAAAAATCTAGTTTGTATGCATGGTAATGTGAATCAGATAGAAAGATGTAACTTTGGAACTTGCTCATGTAAATATATATATTAGTACTACATACATCACTTTCTTGGGTGGATTTTTTTTAAATATATGTACAACACAAGATTATAAAAACAAATTAACATGATTGTTGTGATCATAGAAAATACACTCTCTTTCTATAGGATGGATTGTGGATAATATTATAATGTAGAAACATAACGGCCAACTTTTTAGAGATTGACAAGAAATTCTGGCAAAATTTGTTAGAGTTAGTACAGCATTAAGAAAAAGATCTGATACTGAATCAAGAGACACAAATCAAATTTTGATATTTAAATATCATTTTTTGAAGATTCTAAGAACCCAAAAGGATTACAGTACAAAGAAAGTAAGGTATCTGAACCTAATTGAAAATATGTTGCAGAATATTTAGAAATGTTAGACACTACCATGACTACCAAAATCTATCATTGCCTATGTATATATATTTAGAGTTATTGATATCAAAAACTAACAATAAGCTTTTATCATGTTTATTTTTTCCGACATTTGAAGAGGAAACTTTGTACCTACATTCTGCAGGTCATTTCAGTGATGCTGAGGTAAATTATGATAGGGATTCCTTTAAAAATATATTCAGAATTTTTTCTTGTAAGCAGGAAGAGAATCATATCTTTTATATTTCAGATTCTAGTCATCTTTATAAAAGTAGTTATTTTAATCCAACTTGTTATAATCACAATACCAATGGAAGTCTAACTGTTACCTCTGCTTCGTGGCATAATGGTTGTGGGTGTGTATGGCACAATGTAGCTGAAACATTTCAGACCCCATGTAATAATTACTATACATGTTCTGTTCCTGTTGGACCTAATAATTTACCTAATTGTAATGACAAATGCTATCAAACACACAGTTCAACAAATGAATATAATGAGGTTAGATATTATGTAACTTATCACCAAGAAGTTTGTGATACTTTGGACTATACATATACATGTAAAAGTAAGTATCTTACATATCATAACATCATTAGATGTTTTAACTTTATAATTACCAGGTAACATGAAACACACAACATACACACATCTGACAGCTTTTTCTCTGTTTTTTTTTTTACATTATAAAAAAAATAAGATTTGGTATAAATGCCAATGAGACAACTCTCCACCAGAGACCAAATGACATAGATTTTATAAGAACTATAGGTCACCATATGGCCTTCATTAGTATTGTTTCTAGAGACAGTAATCAGGGATTTGTCTAAACTCTTTTTTTCTTATCTTCTTAGAATGATAAATAGCTAAAATATGAAGCTGGGTATGAAATTTTACTAGACAATTTTGAAATAAATACCAGTAATTCTAGATTTCAAATTTGATCTTGGAACATAAATTTGAATAACTTAAAATTTTGTTGCCCTCCACAATGTTGTAGGTTGTTATATTGAAATACATTCCGGCAGTCTGGTCTTGTAAGCACTCTCATGCATACATATCTTGACAATCTTTTATGAACTTTATACCTGCACTGTCTCAGATAAGCTTAAAAATTTGTACTGATCAACTATTTGTAAAGGAGATACGGTATGTCCCTTGGGAATATAGATTACCGGTATGTTGAAAATTACATTGTAAGTTCTCTACATTCCTTGTAGGATTTTCATATAATTTAAAGCCAAGGTTTATATGCAACAATGTCTGATTCAAAAATCAGCACTGATCAAGTATTTTTAGCTCATGCAATGCAAGTTTTATCTATTATCTTGAAACCGCTCTTGATAGAGAAAATCTGACAGCAGGAATGTTAAAAAATTTGAGATCTACCTACTGTCCCTTTAAATCAAAACTGTCAGATGTCTTCTTATAGGAATAATTGCCCTTAAATGAAAATGTTAAACCTTTTTTGTGGCAAAACTATTGAAGATGGAGAGAAACTTTAAACAGATAAAAAGATCTAGAATACTAGATTAACAAAAAATAGATTTTAGCCGTGACTTATATTCTAGTCTACAATGTTGGAGAGTGCCCATTGTTGAAAATGCTCATAGACCTAGGTGAGCAACACAGGCTCCTCTGAGCCTCTAGTTAAACATGGGAAAGGAATTATGTGCATAAGAAATATAAATTCTATGGAAAATTGCATTATTAGTGCTCTAAAGCCTACTTTTCTTGTCAGACTCTTATTGGCATTTATATCAAAGGTTTATATCAGTTATGCATTGTATGAGTTTGAAAATTGATGCTTATCAACTATTTCTACAGGAATTATGTCCATTTGAAATTTAATTTATATTAAAATTGCATTGTAAGCATTCTCATGCCTACATTTTTGGTCATATTTTTATGAAATTTATAGCAAAGGTTTATTTCAGCAAGGTCTGATAGAAGTTCATAATCTGCACCCATCAACTATATTTGTGGGTGTTATGCCCTTAAGAAATAGAAATTGTATCCTGTGCATACATAATTTGTAGAATAGTTATGAAAATGTTTGAAAGAACCTCTAAAAAATTGTATTGGAGTTATTGGCCGTTACCATCAGTGGGGGACATTGGCACACTGTTCCTTTAGGTTCAACATTTTATTTTATCAGAATTTGTTTGAAATTTAATAATTTTAGAAACATAATGTTCATGGGAGTAAAAAATAGTTCTGGATAAATATTCAGTATACCTTAAAATAATGTGCCTTTCTCACAACCATGTGGTGAACGTTTTTAGTTAGAATATTCCCATATACCATACTACTGTACAGTTGACAACTTTTGTAGTTCCTCAATGGTCTCAGTGGACTGAGTGGTCCGACTGTTCTCAAACATGTGATAGAGGATCTCAGAATAGAACACGTTATTGTGAACCGGACACAGAATCAGACACAAATGATGGCTATATAAACAGATGTGGACAGAAATATGATGAAACACACATACTAGAGACCAGGGAATGTTTACTAATAGGGAATCATCCATATTGTACTTGTAAGTACATGAATGAGCTCATTTATTCCATTCTGCATGTAACCCCTATACTTAGAAGTTATAATGTGTTGCTTATTAATTAAAACCTTCAATTGCACTAACAAAAAATATTATTCTTTCCAACAGAAACCTGGCAGTCATGTTTTTCTTTTGAATTGTCCCGTTTTTTCCAGATGAATTTTCACAAGCTTTTAATAAAAGTTGTAAGTAGCTGTCAGAATCCAAATTGGACAAATAATTACTCCTTGATTTAGGTCAAGTAGAAAATACCTCATTCTTATCTGAGTTGAATCCTAAAAAACTTGTTTTACAGTTCGCATTTTTTTATACAAATAAAAAAATGTTTTTGTCATACAATATTGTGGCCCTTCATTTCATTTATAACACATTTTGATAGATTTGAATAATAAGCATTTCATTGGTACATATACTGGGCACAGCCGTGTAGTTAAAAGAAGTGAAATTGCTGTTGCTCTGTAAAATTAATGGCTAAAAAAAGTTTTTATGTTACTTTTTAAATTATTTCATAGACTGTGAAGACAGAACATTTATTTATGGTGATGAAGTGGCATTAAGAACTGCAGAAAATGACACAGATGAAGGTATAGTATAAAATTGAGAATGTAAATGAGAGACAACTAGACCAAGGAGCAAAAAAACAGCCCAAGGGCACAAATGGGTCTTCAACACAGAGAGAAAATCCCGCACCCAGAGGCGGAGGCGGGATTCAGCTGGCCCCTAAACAATAATGTATACTAGTTCAGCGAAAATGGATGTCAAACTAAACTATGAAACATATAAATGAACCACTAGTCAGTTGAATTTCCATTTAAACATTTGTTAAATAGTATTCCTGAAAAGAAAAACAGCTTGCTGCTGAATAATTTATCATCCAGTTTGTGACGCCAGCTGAGCAGGTTTAGTTTCAACACCTGAATTTTTTTAAAAACAAATCTTCTTTAATCAAATTAAGTTCAAGTGTCAGACCACCAATTCACTCCCTCCAATTTAGAACTTATGTAAAAGTAGCCCTAAATTAGTGCTTTTGATGTCATTGTTTACTTACACTTACTAAAAAATTTGCAGAAATTAAACTTTTGATGAAAGAGAAATATATTTAGACCATTTTGAGTCAAAATTTACTTGTCTATGAGTTTGAATTAAAAATTGAGGCTTAATGCGCTCCATAGTTAACTAATTTAACATTTCCAGAAATCCAGGGGTTATTTTTAGTAGTACTTGGCTTCCGAAAGGCAGTTCTTTCTTACAAGACGTTAAACATGAGTTGAAAATTGGCATGTAGAAAGGTGATATATGTACAATTCAGGATATACCTGGTTTCTATAAGTTAAACTTAAGGTAAAATATTAAGAAAGCTGTGAAAATTGCAAATTTGGTTGAATAGATAAGGATTTTGAATTAGTGGTCTGACATCTTTAAAGCTAAAAGCGGTGAAACAAAAAAATCAGAAAACAATTGATTTTTTTGTCTTAACTGATCATTTGAAATGCAATTGGCAAAAAGTCACATATTGCAAAATTTTCTACTCTAAATTTTATTAACTGATAGTAAATGTAAAAATGTATAACTACCATGACCATAAGAAATTCCTGTAGAAGTCCCTGATGAATTAACAAAATAGATAGTTCCAGAACAAACTGATTGAATGCCTTTGAAGACTATTTATTATCCAATTTATAATCATTTTCATACAATTAAAAACCAATTGTTCAGAGAACAATTGAAGGTCTTTCCACCAACTGATATGGAAAATATTAAAATTCGGTTTGAAATGTCACTTCCAGTGCCAAATAATAGCTTATAGTAAGCTGATTTTAAAAATATATGGTTTATTTACACTTTTGTTTGAAATAAAGGAAGATAATTTGTTACTTTCGGTTTGAAAAATGTCACTTTCAGTATTATCTGATAGTTTACTTGACACTGATTCCAAAAATATATGATTCTATATACTCACATTAAATAAGTACAAAAAATAGCTACTTCCGGTTTACACAAGGTCATTTTCGGTTGGCTTTTTCAAGGACATATGGCTAGCGACCTAACAAAAAAGTCCTATAGCTTTATCATGTATTCAGTTAAAGAAAAGTTCAAAATCTAGAACATCAAAATTACATATGACCTTGACCTCAATTTCAAGGTCATAAACCTAGGACCTCTAATCAAAAGACCCGAGATCTTTATTATATATGGTTAATGAGCTATATCACCATTCGAATAATTTCAAATATAGAGCGGAGAAAACTGCCATTTAATGTCAACGTACCCTTTCAACCAAAATTTATGTGTTACGACATGTCGCAACTAACAATTTAGCAAAATATGTTGTTGATATCTTATAAGATTTTTGAAAAGAAGTGAAAATAAGCCAAAATCCAAATTTAGAACATGACCTTGACCTAATTTTCTTTTTATTGGACCAAAGACCTAAAATCAAAAGACCCTAGGTCTCTATCACTTATGGTTTTCCAGTTAAAATTACGTTTAACTTATTTTAAATACAAAAGGGGAAATAACTCTCATATGGAGGCTCAGGATCTCTTCGGTCAAAATTATTCTTATGATCCTGAGGATATAACGAGCAAATTGGTGAAATAATTTTGTCCTAATCTTTTACAGTTGCGAAGGAGATGCGCACACAAGAAAAACAGTGTTTGGGGAGATAACTCTTACAATAAAAAGTGTTCGGTTAAACAGGGTCAGTTTCAAAGTTGCAATAACTGTTCGATATCATATGCAAAAAATCTAAGCGACATCTTACGAAACCACCAAACACCGGCGGAAGAAGAAAAAAATAATAATAATCAGAACAAAATCAATAGGTCTTTCCACAGAAAAGTGGAAAGACCTAATTTTTGTTTATTTAACCTAAGAAAGTAATGGCCAATGGGAGATAACTCTATCTTCTAATTTCCTTAATTTTTCTATTTAGTATAAATTGCTGCCTGTAATAGTGCAATTAATAACTTAACATATCACCCTTATTTGTCAATCACCTTAACAACAAACTATAACTAAATTTTAAACTAAAGGACCTCATTTAAGAGCTCTGGGATAAAGCAACAGATTGGTATAGAACCATTTTAAATTTTGACTTCTAAATTCATTGATAAGCACAAATCCCTCAAGAAATACCACCCATTAACAGCTTAGTAAATAGTGCAGACAGTTTGCTCCTATAGGGAGAAGATAACTGTATGGTACCAGTGATGTTTAAATGTTGTTGTGACTTGAAAGCTTTCAATTTTGGTCCTGAATTAATAACAACAAATAGCACTTGATAGTACTCTATATGGGTTATTGAAATTCAAGACTGTTGAAAGCAAAAAACCTTTTTACCAGTACTTAGTAAGTTCCAAATAATGGTGAGAGTCCATGAAAATTCATATTTCAACAAAGTCTTTACTGGAATAGCACTGAAACATGAGCTTTTATGTATTTTCTGATTATAGGAAATGCTGTCTTGTTGAAGAATGATATAGACATCATTAGATGTTGTGGATTAATTACATATTGGGAATTTTTTGTAATCAATCCTGGAACTTTGAAGTTGATTGTATGGAGATCTACCAGTAATGATAGCAGCTATAAAGTTGTAGGAACCAACTCTGTCAACATTTCTGGTAATTTCTACTCTTTGACAGGAAATATTGAAGTTTAATGTTAAGTTTATTGATTTAAGTAAATGTAGTATGAGCCAATGTTGCTCAAATTTCAGGTGAGTCACTGGGTATAGGAATATTGAATTGTTTTCTGTAGATCTAGTTATTTAGACGACTTTGTATGATGTCACAGGTACAATCTCCATAATGCATCTTTACTTTGATCTATCGCTATGAATGATCGCTATAAATAATTATAGAAAAGAATTCTATCAGCATTTGTCAAATCAAAACTAAAGATTCTGATATGTGCAGACCTACCAGTTATAAGAATTCTAGAAAAAAAGTATCCATAAAAAATATGTGCTGTCAACAATAGTATAATCTTCATATATTAGAATACTGTTTAATACCTGTCTTAAGGTGGTACATAACACTACAGGGAGATAACTCTGTAAATATTAGCTGAACATTTTAATCACGTTCTATTGTTAAGGAAATATTAAGCTTCTCAATGATCAAAATTAGTGTTTGTTAAACTGCTATGTATCCAATGAAATTTTTCCGATAAAGTGTGTGGTTCAAGTTTTTTTTAAATTTTTATATTTTTGTCAAAGGGTCAAAGTACATATTTTGTCAAAATTTTATGAAAAATGAAAGAGTCAAATTAATTTTAGTCAAGGTGTTTTGTGTCACCTTAACAATGTATGGTATATATATTATTTCACTTTGTGATATTAACATAGAATTAATTATATGACAGATGCTGATGTCAATAAGATATTCAAATTTATACCTGACAGTGCTGACCGTATCACAATTATAGCAGATGATTTAATTGGATGGTAGGTTTTCAATATTTAAAATTAGGAGGGAACTTATACCCAATTGTGTCTTCACCTGTCTTTCAGTTTGTTTGAGTCTCACAAAAGATTTGCCTGTTCAACAAAGATGTTTCAATCAACACCCCATGTGGGGGGCGGGGGAGGGGGTGGGGGCACCTCAATACTTAATTGATAGGGGTGCTGCTGTGGTTCTGTTACCCCACCCTTTTAATATAATTCAGATTTTAAAAATGTATACCTTTTCATATATTGCGTAGGTAAAAATGTAACCTTTTCCATTATTATTTGGTTTTCATGTGGTGTGTGATGTTAGAGTGGAATACCAAAGTGTCAAAAGAGAAAAATTGGTTGATAAAAACACAGCTAGGAACACCAAGAAAGATGACAGACAAAGAAGTTATAGGAACTTTATTGACCTTATTATATATTTCTGATAGTTTTCCTGACCTATTCATATATTTTCAAGCTTGACTTAGGTTTTAGTATTAGATATTTTTACATCCAAGAATCTAGTCATCTTGTTACAATTAATGTATTGAATGCAAACTGTCTCTCTAAATTACATTGCAGATTGACATTCTTTATAGACTGGCTGTTAAATAATCAGTAAATGTGACCAGAAATTATTGTTAATTAATGTTGACCCAGATGCCTGAAACTTCACAGAAGTCTAAACCAGCTTATAGAATGGTGATGATGGAAGAGGGTGGCATAAAGTGGGAACCTATTTTGTATAATCAACTTCTCCTACATTTTTCAACCCAGACCACTGGGAACACCTAGAAACATTGCACACATGTTGTAATGGAAGTGTGATATATATAATTATGGAATTGTTTGAGGAACTTTTTCCACATTAAAGAACTTAGTTGTTTTTTTAGCAAAATTTACAAAAATAAAGAACCAGTTTTGTGTAATCAACCTCTCCTACAGTTTCAGTCTAGACACCTGACACTTCCCAGAAACTTTGCACTTTTGTTGATGTTGTACAGCTGCTGTTATGGGATTGTTTGAGGAATTATTCCAGTTTTTCACACTTAGGAACTTAGTCATTTTTCAGAAAAAGGTTTATGCGAGTTGAAGCATCTTCAGAGCTTATAATAAACTGAAAGTCAGGTTTATATCTTAAGGCTGCAGTTTCAAGCATATGTATTTGGCTATTCAAATGCAAAAGTTTTCAGTAAATCTCAAAAAACAATGTCTCAATTCAAGGTTCCAAAATTTTGCTGAAATTATCTCCCTTTGCACATGGTGATCGTATATAATACATTATGGGTTTTTTGCTGTGAAGTTATATAAGTCCCCAAGTGCCATGTTGTGAATAAACTTAAAATGTTGATAAATAATGGTTCAGAATTGAATCTTGGATTAAGCATATGAGACAGCAACTTAAAGCAAGAATTTGTTATTCTATTTTTTTTTATAAAGAACAGATATGATGTAACTTAAGGAGAAAAACTCATCCCTGTTTTTTACATCGGATGACCATGAGGGCATTCCCGTGTATTGTTGCCACAGACATTTCTACCCACGTGACTTTCGTTTTTGAATGATAACCGAACGCAAAATAACATTCCTTATCGCTTGTTATATATCAATTTCATCAATAAATATTCATGAAAATAATTTTTAAGAACATAGATAAATGATATGAAAATGTTTTGTCGTGAGAAATATATATATCAATAACAAATCAAGAATACTGAAAATTTGTGTTAACACATGCGGAAGAATATCTCAAGAACGTTTTGCGGGAAAATATGAATGCCTACTCAAATCCAATCTATTAGAAAAATCGAATTATTACAGAAGAGTGTCCACCATGCACTTGCACTGCACTATTATTAGAATAGTAGAATAGAATGATATACAAATGCATAAAAATTATATATACATGTAACTGTTATATACAAATATTAATATAATATACAACAACAAACCAGAGTCAAGATACTGATGACAAATTTATATCACTACAATATAATAGTTATTACAGTGAGGTTGAATTCCCTGTCATTTATTCATCATCCACACACGAACATGTCTCAGAAAAAAATGTATCTATGTACCTCACTTTCAGGTATAGAGATTTGATTTTTTTTTTCTGAGACAAGTGCTTGTGACCATCCACAAGAACTTGCCGTCATCCTATGTTCAGTACTTCAGTACTTTGATTATATCTTTATATTGGTTGATATACCTGAATTGTCATTCTTAACATCCATTTGGAAAAATTTGCTTATTTGGAAATTGCTTTGGAAAAAAAAGTCTGAAAAATTAAATCCTGATACTTGTTTTTCATGTTTGTTATAAAATACATGTAGATATGGTTACGGTTATATTGTTGTCAGTATTACAGGTGGTGATTAGGCTAATGTCTTTTTAGAACTGCAGCAATTAATATTTCTGTTTTATATGATAGAGTTGATAAATAGTTCTTTCAAATATTTGTTCAATGTGCACCCCATGGCATGTTACTTTGCATGGATCTATGTTCCTCAGCCTAAACTATTATAAGTTTGTTGCAGACTTTTATGAAAAATTTATTTTGAGAATTTTTTATGATTAACAAACATTTTAAGTCATATGTATATTTCCTTTAAAAAAAAAAAGATTGTCATAAAACTTAGGCATTTTGTTTATTTTTTAAGGTTTGATGATGGTGCTAATATAATTGGCTATGACAACTGTAGTTCTACATACAATGCATCAACTAGTAATCATCGGGACCTACGACCAAATTACTGCCCAACACAGACCTATAAAATGACATTGGACATGGAACCAGAAGATGAAGATGTTGTCCTTTGGTCTGGTACCCGTTACATTGACAGAGTATATGTGATGCAGTACACTACAGTGGAAAGTAAGTTTTGGCACTGTTTGTGCAAACATAATAATAGATTTTAAATACCAGTTCCCTTAAAAAAATCATAACATTGGTAAAATGTGCCATTAATCATTGTTGAAGGCCATACAATGATCTATAGTTGTTAATTTCTGTGTCATTTGGTCTCGTGTGGAGAGTTGTCTCATTGACAGCCATACCACATTTTTTAATTTTCATATACACTAAATTTATTCATAATCCTTATAGTGTTTGCTCATTGAATATTAAAATACAAGAATCTAGATTTGTTTATCAATTTAAAAATGAATTTTGGCAGCAACCCCCCCCCCCCCCCCCCCTTTATATAGTTTAACTACAAATAAAAAGTTGCATTTGTCTTTGATTTTATTTACTGTTAAGCATATACTATGGATTCATTATAATTCGTTGGATAACAATTTTCATGGATTTCGTGGGTATAGGTGAACCACGAAAGCAAATGTTCAACGAATGACAAATTTCCTATAGGCTTATATGCAGAATTTGGCAAAACCACGAAATTAAATATTCACAAACATGTAAGTTTTCCTTAATCCACGAAAATTATTACCCAGGAAAAAAGATTAATCCAAAGTATGTAAAATAAGATGCCAGTTTTCTATATATTTTAGATACTCTTCCATATCTCAACCTGTCAAGATATCACAAGACTATACCTGACCATTCATATATAGACTTTAGTATTATGGACTTTTACTTCAATGATACAGATTATGCTGACTGGTTTGTTTTAGTTAAACCAGAACATGATAGGGATCCATATTTCTATTATGATACTTTTGCAAGTAAGTTTGTATTTACCTTTGATTCAATAGATTATGATGATTAAAAACATAATACAGTTAACTCTCGTTGTCTTGAACTCTGTTGACTCAAATTTTCGGATGAGTCAAAGTTTTCTCGTGGTCCAGAACTTTGTTCCATATAAATATATGTATTTCGACTTCTGATGAGTCGAAATTTTAGTTGACTCGAAACTAAATATACAGTCCCAAGGTTTACATGTCACGGAATAGAAGTTCCTTCATAATATAAGTTCCAAATGGAAACAATATTCTGGAATATTATTTCAACTGGAATAAATATTACAGTAAATGTTCCTAACGGAATAAATGGTATAGAATATTTGTTCCAACAGGAATAGATATTATGACATTGTTTGTAACAAAGTTTCCAGTGGAACTTCTGTTAGGCAGAACAAATATACGTTGACATTCAAAGGCATTCAAAATTCATTATTTATTTTAGCCTTTCCAAGCTAAGCGAGAATTGTGTCCGTTGATATGTCAAACTTCCTGTTTTCGTTTGTGAGTGGAATTACAGGTAACTCGAAATATTTCTCTGGTGCAGCTGACTTCGAGATAATAAGAGCGGTCTGTAAATACATGATAAAAAGAAGATGAATACTCAATTTGATATTTAAGTCTTGAAAAATGGAATTATGCCCTTACAATAAATTTTTTCACCTTGATGCCTTAGTATTGATTGCAGCAAGTGAATAAGTGATTTAATGAATCTACAAGCCCAAATAATTTTAATGGCAAAAAAAAAAAAAAAAGTTGATACCAAGCATTTCATTTTAGCTTGTAAAATATTTCTTTTTATGCCCCACTTAGCGGCATTATGTTTTTTCGGTCTGTGCGTCCGTTCGTTCGTCTGTCCGTTTGTCCGTCTGTCCCGCTTCAGGTTAAAGTTTTTGGTCAAGGTAGTTTTTGATGAAGTTGAAGTCCAATCAACTTGAAACTTAGTACACATGTTCCCTATGATATGATCTTTCTAATTTTAATGCCAAATTAGAGATTTGACCCTAATTTCATGGTCCATTGAACATATAGTGCAAGTGGGGCATCCGTGTACTATGGACACATTCTTGTTAAAAAGTTATTTTAGAAAAATATGAATGGAAAAATTGCTGTTATTAAAATTTTCTCCAGCCATAAGGACACCTGAAAAGCAAATTCTTTATTTATAATCAGTTGCACATTTTCCGGCATTAGCCATTAAAATTGTATATAATTCTAAAGCCTGTGATTTCTATAGAATAATATCTTAAGTTTCATGACTCATGACATGGATGTCGTGTGTTATATAAATATTAATATTTTCCATATTTTCTCTCTACAGAAACTGTTCATGTGAAAGACCAACTTCCCCATATTAGTGGTACACAGAATTATATTCATGAATTCATTGTATGGGCTGAAGATTCTTGTTACAATAGAGTTACGGGAACTGTAACAATAACATCATTCAATGGAGTAAGTTAACTATATGTTATTCAGTGAGTCATTTTAAATTTATTTGATCATTTGACATCTTGTGATAACTAAAGTTTACTTTATTGGACTATTTGTAAATATTTTACATTGTTCCTGTTTTGATGATGACTAACTCCCTTTTGAAACTTTTGTTATTAATCATATACAATTATGACCCGTAGAAAAGGTTATTTCATTGAGGGCACAGCCCGAAGTAAAATTACTTCTGAGGGTTGACAATTTTGGATATTCATTGCTTCTGAGAAGCCACAATTGTTTTATTATACCAAACAAAAATTGGAAGGGCCTCTTGAACCATTGGAGAGGCACTTGCCTGCAGTAACAGATTGCCAAAACACTTATGTTAGAAAACTATTTTGTGTCAAAGAATTTCTTGTATCATTTCAACAAAGGTAGACTCTTTATGTAAAATATAGATGGCCCTGAAAAGAACCGTTCATGAGGAATATCCTAGGCATTAGATGAATTTCCAAGCCTTGTTTGATCTTGTTTCCTCTTCACTCAATCGTCTTTTAAAGTGGCGGTTTCCATTTTGTTTACTAAATTTGACTGTGATGTCATTGTGATGGGAGATTACTTGTGTACAAATCAAGAACCTCAAAAGATTATTCACCAGCCAGTGAATTATAGGGTTATTCATCGTTTGGTGCAAATTTTTAGGGTTATTCATCCTTCCTTGCATTCAAATAAAATTTAACTGAATTATTCCATGTCACGTGATAATGTATTACCCAATAGAATTGTTTATAAAATATCTAAGGTATAATGATACCATTTGTATGCTCCCCTTTTGATAGTAGAGGTGCATTATGCTTTCAAAACTGAGTCTGCATGTTAATCTGTAGGTTCGTATGTCCTGAACCAGTTTTTGTTTAAGGTTGTTTTCAATGATGTTGTGGTAATTTCAATTTGAAACTTAGTACACATGTTCATTTCAATTTGAACTTACTTAATTATATGCCAAATCATTGTTTAACCCAAACGTTTTGATCGCTGAGCATGGCTAATGAAATAGTGTGAAATCAGTAATGTTCTCAGCTTGAAGATTTGTTAACTTGAATCACACACATGTTAATAATGATTTGAACTTTTGAAAAATATGTGCTATTTAAAACTTTTGATCCATATTTTGCCATTCATGGATTATGGACTTGTACTTTACAAGGGGGACAGTTTCCTCAAAATTTTCAATAAAAATGGTACCAGTTTTGTGTAATCAGCTCCTCCTGCAGTTTTTCTTTTATTAAAACTTCCAGAAAGTTTGCACATATATTAAAGTTATGGATTTGTTTTAAAAAAATGTATCACCGTTCATCGCATTAAGTATATCCATATATTTAAGTTCTCCTTTGTATAAGAAGCATTCTATTCAACATTGCCATTTGAGTCCTTGATCATTTTTGTTGATGCTGCAATACTTTGTCGCAGAAGCAAGACTTATTGATCTTACATTCTGTTTCCGTCATCAACATTTTATCTTTACTTTATTGTTGATGTTGGTTTCATACAAAAGTTAAAATTTGGGAAGTTTTTGTTCAATAAATAGCAGTGAATATTGAAAGAAATATTCAGATCAGCCTTAATAGACTAAAGTTATTTGTGTCTGGCATCTATGTGAGTACAGGTCTTAGTTTTTAATTTGTACACATTCAACAATTCAACAACCAAAGCATCTCTGGTGCTGTCATCTATAAAAGTAGTTCTTTCAGGAGATTACAGTACCTAAATATAAACTTTAACATAACTAAAACATTAACCTCATTTTAAATTTTTTTGACATTTTGCCACAGCTTAGCAATCTTGCTTTAATTTATTCTAGAATGGTCTTCTTTTTTCAGCCTCCTACATTTCCTGATTTACCAAAGAAGATATCGATAAGTGAGTCAAAGAGAGGAGCACTATATACGTTTAGTGTTGACGATCCATCGTATGGACCAGACAACATCACATGTCAATACGAAAGAGCAATACCAAATTCAGAAAGCCAGAAATTTTATATTGAGGGTAGGCATAATATTCTTATGTCTAATTATTTTATCATATCAATAGTATTTCATGGAAATATACAATTCAGGAGCCTTCTGACAGAACATAAAGTGCAAGTACTGATAATTTTCAACTATTTTAAAAGTACTATAAGCATAAAAAGGATATAATTTTTTAATACTGAATGAAACTTGGAAGAGAAGGAATCCAGAGAAAACTTTAATAATGTTTATTTCATTTTAAGCTCACTTTACCATAGGACCATGTGATCTATTGCTGTCACTTGGCATCTATTGTCGTTGTAAACTTTTTCAAAGATCTTCTCCTCTGAGACTACTGAACCAATTTCAACCAAACTGATAAATGATCCATATAGGGTATCTAGTATAAAGTTTGTGTTTTTATACATCCGTTTACGGGACATATTATGGCATACCGTTGACTGTCTATCCATCTGTCTGTCCGTCCATCTGTCCGTCTGTCCATCCATCCGTCGTCAACATGTCGGACATTAATTCAAAAACGCTTTAACCAATATGCATGAAACTTTGGTGAATTGTTTATATCTATTGACGTGAGCTCCCTTTCGTTTTTTATAAATTTCAATTTATCATTTCCGAGTTTTGGGGTTTTATTCATTAAAAAAGGGGGGATTTTCCAGTTTTCGGACAATAACTCAAAAAAAATTTCACCAATTTGCAAGAAACTTTTGTGAATTGTTTATATCTTTTGACCTAAGCCCCCTTTCGTTTTTTATAAATTTCAGATGTACTGTTTCCGAGTTTTGGGGTTTTATTCATTAAAAAAGGGATGATTCTCCAATTTTCAGACAATAACTCAAAAACAATTTCACCAATTTGCAAGAAACTTTGGTGAATTGTTTATTTCTATGGACATGATCTCCCTTTTGATTTTTTATAAATTTCAGACTATACATTTCCGATTTATGGGGTTTTATTCATTACAAAAAGGGGGATTTTCCAGTTTTCAGACAATAACTCAAAAATGCTTTCAGCATTTTTTATGAAACTTTGGTAAATTGTTTATATCTATTTTTGTAAGCTCCCTTTTTATTTTTATAAATTTTTGATTTTATGTTTCCGAGTTATAAGATTTTATTTGTTTATAGTCTGACAACAGATTTACTAAGTATTACGCTACAGCACAGTGTATTGCACAACAGCAAGAAATCTTTCATATAACCAATTTCAAGTTCTTTGACTACATTTATTCAGAAACCTATAATATATCAGAGCTCCAGATAAGCTGTGTATTTGCGTGATCACGCAATACAAATAATTAAAAACCCAATGCAATTGCCCATTGCAGGGTTCAAAAACCCAATTCATTTAAAGGAAAACCCAATTATATGCCAAAACCATGAGTTCTTAACGCTTTTATTCGCTATCGTTTGCGTTATTTACCCTTATCTGATTACAGTCGTTGCGTAAATCTATTTTTATAATATTTATAATTGGAAATGTCCTTTCGTTCTAAAAATAGAGCCCTGCATCAAGTAGCCGAAATGGGTCCGTTGGAATTTTCCGTTGTCAAAAGGTACACGTGTTTATGAAAACATTTCGATCTTCTCGGTGTTTATCCAATTAGCATTTGTCTTGTTGTCATATTTTTTTCGAATTGCTCGGGATTTATCATAACATACGATGAATTAAAACGAAGGTAAATATCCGATAAAAATATTGAATAGAAGCATGTTTTCAGCTTCTTTTTGATACTTTAGGGAAAGTTATTATGATGATAACAAGACCCGTTTGCGTACCTTAACGAGAATATTGCTAGAACGATAAACACGGGGTTTTGTCAAGAACGAAATCAGCGGTTGGAAAAAGTGAAAGGCCAAATCAATTATGACATAATATATGTAGTTGGAAAGCATCAGAAACCAAAAGTTCTAATCAGCTGGGACAACTTAACCCAGATTTATGTAAATTAAATTAAACAAAAACATTCAAGTATAATTTTAGTTTATATATTATTTTTTTCATTTTAGTTGATGAGTGAATACACATATCCGTTTTTTACGTCAATGCATCTTGACACTTTCTTTGTTTTGGTCTTTAATATTGCTCTGTATGCTTATGATAGTTGTCTTATTGGCAAGTGCAGTTTAACATTGTCATTTATTTATTTGATGTTGCAGAATTATTTGTAAATTTAACTCTGTAAATTTAAGTTGAATGTGGTCTCCGTCATTAAACCTATATACCTGGTCAAGGTTTTGGGGTATATCTTAAATCTGGGAACTACTTATTATTTTTATTAAAAAGGAGATCTGGCAAATAGGTGAAAGGACTGGCAAAACTTTCTTACAGCACCTAAATTTCACATATATTACATAAAATCTAAACACTTAGCCACGCCTACCCCAACTAAACTGTAGGGTGATCATATGGGATCTAGAAAGGTAATTAGTAACTGTCCAACTAGTGACACCAGCTGCAGTTTATATAAGTTGTGAGAAAACACAAAATTGGCAGAACGTTTAAAATCGGACACAAATTAAACGTACAATTGCTCGTCAGTGAATAAACCAAATAAAACAGCTAGCATATATACAAAGAAAGAAACACATTTAAGATGGAAAAACATCTGCATGGGGTTGATATAATGTGATTATAACATGCCTAAACATTCAATATTGTGTTGATGAAAAAACCCAATACATTAAGGAGCTTGGTGGTGAAAAACCCAATTTTATATTTGCTTGAGGGGTGAATTGGAATTGATAATGCAATTTAAAAACTTTATCACCCAATTACATAAAAAAATGGTGGGTAAAAACCCCAATTTGTGAATTCTTATCTGGAGCTCTGATATATCAAATATTTAATTACAATCCAAATTTAGACCTGTATCAAGCTTGAATAATGTGTCCATTTTTGCCCCAACTGTTTAGGGTTGGACCTCTACGGGCATATCCAGCTGCGCTCAGCGAAGCAGTTTATTCCCATGTTAGTCAGCAAACATGGTGACTATGGCTAAACATAAATAAAGTGTAAAAAACTCATCAATTGTCTTATATCATGAAAATCATAATAGTTAGAGAAAATTTGAATTTGACAAAATACTCTGTATGTGAAGATCCACCTATTTCCTATTCTCACCATAACTATCAGATTACTCCTAAAGGAGTAATTGCCATTAAATGATGATTTTTGAGGAATTTGTATGCATTTGTCAAAAGTAATAATATTATAGAAAGTAGAGACATCAACACCCATGTTATACCAAAATAATATAGAATTTATTATGTCTACATGTTTCACCACATGAGTGGCATCATCAGGACGGTTACAATAAGAAAAAAGTACATTGTATGTGGACTTCCGTAAGTTGATGAAAGCGGAAGTGGAAGTTGATAAAAGCGGAAGTGGAAACAAATATATAAAAAGAAATTAGAAATAAAAAATTAAAAATAATAATAGATAGGTGGAAACTAATAATGCATGGCAAAAATGATTAGCAAAACAAGATCTACAAGAAAATGCCAATATGACCTAAACCATTGGATGACTCCTCAAGGAGTTATGGTAGTTAAATGAAGATTGATCAGCAATATAGGATCTACCAAAAAAGTTGTATGACCAAAACCATTGGATGACTCCTTTAGGAGAAATAGTCTTGAAATGACAATTTTTGATGAATTTTCATGTTTTAGTTAACTACCTCGAGAACAATAAAAGAATTGATAAAAAATCTTAACAGCAAAACTAATTAAGAAATAATTCCTTGATGTCATTCTCTATGCTCATTTTAACATGGGTAGACATTATATTTGTCGATATTTTACACTGAGCAGTAGCTTTTGGCCTAAGATAACAGTTTTTGACTATTTTTTAAAAAAAATTTTGCAAATTATCATGAAACTATGATAGAACAGTACAAACTGTGAACTGAAAAAAATTATCAGCAATACTGTGGATTCATTTATTTTCGTGGGTACCAATTTTCGTGGATTGAGGAAAACTTGCATATTCGTGGATATTTAATTTCGTGGTTTTGGCCAAGTCTGCATACATTCCTTTAAAACATTTGTAATTCGTTGAACATTAAAATTTGTGGTTCCCCTGTACCCACGAAATCCACGAAAATTAGTATCCAACGAATATTAATGAATCCACAGTATACAAGATCTACAAAAATAACTAGGCTGATTGCAATCAAGGTAAAAATTAATATCAAAATGACATGTCTTTACCAGGTGGGATTCAGGCTTATAATTGCCTTTTGTTCTTTATTCTGATGAATCAACCTCATTTTAATTTTTTCAGAGATGCAGTCTGGGTTAAAGGTTTTTTACAAAAAATAAATAACTGTGTCAATGCTTCATTAAATTTTATAATACTTGAACATAAGTTTCTGTATTATCAAGAGATATCATCTGGAGCAAAATTTTGAAGATATTTTTGCATTTTTATTCTTAAATGGACTTATTTTCTGTTGTTGCATTTAATATTTTAATGCAGTTTTGGTTAAAGTTATATAGACATCTTATATACTAGATTTACTTATTGGGGGTGTGAAGAGATGATTGAAGCTGTTACTGTAACTTGACTGTTAGTGTTGCTCTCCACCTATTGCAACTTATTCAAGATTCTGACCAAATTGCAATTTGTTTTATAAAACCAAACTGTTCAACTGGTCAGAAATTTGTACAAACTGCCGTAGAAAACCACAGTAAAGTCGTGAAAGTGCAAGGTGATAAAATAAAGCATACTTACAATCCTATAAGACTTTAATTCCACTTCAAAGTTATTATGAAAAATCAGTCTAACAGTTTGTATAGAAATTTTATTGTTATTGTCATGCTAAAGGTAATAGGTAGTAATTTTGAATTGCTATAAAAATGTCCAAACCAGGGATGGGGTAATCGTAATCTGTAATCGTAATCGATTGTAATTGATTACATTTTTTCCAGTAATCGACAGTAATCTGTAATCGAAGACATTTTCGATTACATGTAATCGTAACTTAATCGATTACAGCAAAAATCGTGA